AATGCCAAAACATAGAAAAACATTATGTAACATAAAAACTTAGATAATTTGAAATCAATTGTCCCAAAATCATGGTTCATCTCCAAAATTTTCCAAATCATTTCAAGTTCTTCAAAACTCATGCAATAAGGTTACATACCCTCATGAATCATGCATGCATGTAACTCATTGACTCTAATTCCATTTCAAATGGTACAAATGATGCTCATAATCATGGAGCTTAACAAAACTATGCTTGCATGCATGATTTGGTACTCAATTCTTCATGTTTCATGCTCAAATGAACATAATCATTGTGAATGCAAACATGCATGTATATATACAACTCCAATTTCATTACATCCAACTCAATTCTTGTTCTTAATCACATATCATGCTTGGGGTCACCTAGTTATAAACTTAAACTCATGAATTTGAGCTCAATTACTCACCTAGGAGCTTCAACTCTCAACTCTTCCAATTATAGCCAATTCTTGATCTAATCCTCCTAGTTTCTTAAACTCACTTGCAAATCCCCAAGGTTGAGCTTCATTTCTCTCTAATTTGGCTCCCTCTCTCCCTCTAAAGTGTATCTTCAGATTTTTTAGGTCAAAATAAGAAACCTAAGTGTTTAACCACATATATATACTAAGTGATTAACTTAAACTAATCCATCTCAATTAAGATTAACCAATTGCTCATAATTTAATTGATTCAATCTAATTATTTTGATCCGAATCAATTTTTACTTAAATTTCACTGTAGGATCTAAGAATCATGTTAAGCGCAAAAATACAGTCAATCTCAGTTTCTGTCGTCCCTACGACCTTTAATGAAATTTTTATGGCAGAAAATCAAACAGATTTTCTTACGGTGAACAAATAGAAATTCAAAAACACATATAACCATACAAATGGCACTCAAAATCATATCAAGCACATAATCATAATCATAATTAAGATTAATTAACATAACACAGGGCAGGGTTATCACATACCCGGCGGTGTGCTGTCGGAAAATCCCACCGACGGTCAAGTTAGCACACTTAGAGAGAGAGAGAAAAGAGAGGAGACAAAGTGGTAGGTGAGCTCTGACCATAAGATGTTCCAGACCTGTGTATGGAGGCGCGACATCATTTATATAGTTTCTGCATGCGCTTCTGCATCCATTCCTCCCTGGACGAGTGGACATGCCTTCCTCTTACTTTTTCCCATGTGTCAGCGCAAATACAGCTAAGCACTAAATGATGAAACCGCCAAACAGTACCAACACTTACATAAAGGAGGATCTCCTTCCCGCGGTTTCACCTCGTCGTATTGACCTTCAAACCGGACTATACTCGCTGCCTTGGCTTCCCATTTCTATTGGGACCGCGCTATTTGCCTGGTATCGTTGTTCAGACCCGAATGCGGATTCAACCGATCTCCACGGTCATGACCGAGCAACTGCTCGGCCAAATCTAATCTTAGAAGACAAATTCCATTAAACAGCACCGAGCTAGTGGCCAAGGTTGTCCCAACTTGACCAGAATAGGTCCTCGGTTGAATGTATGTCAATTGTCCGACTGAGCAAGGGCCCTGATTCCAACCCAAACTAGCTCGGCCGTTTGTTGGGTCATAAATACCCCTCTCACTTAATAATAGTATAGAAGATGTTTCTACTTCAATTCGAACTCAATTTGACAAGAAAACACATAGAACATTCTTTCAACATTTCTTTTGAAAATGGTTAGATTTCTCTAAATTCAAAATATGAACCTGAGAGAATTTGTGAATCATATTATGGGTCTCATTTCGATTCAAATGATTCATTTTGTAGAATATTCTATGTATATTATTTATGAAAAAAATTAAATTGAATTTTACTACACAACTAGGCCTCACTACAACATATAAAGATTTATACTTTTTCTAAAAACCTCCACCACAGGCCTCACTTTTGGCCAGTTGGCCGCTGTCTTTGGCTATGGAGGTCAGCTGGCGTCGCTCTTTCCTGTGTTTGTATATTGGTTTTTCTTTTTAATAAACTTGATTTCCCCATTATTTTCCCACCTAAGTGTGCTTTGTGTATTGCTATTGATATTTATTTTTTTGGTGTTTCTGTGCCCACTTTGGATGATTCATTGGGGTTGTAGCAGTGGTGTGTTGTTTTTAATAGGGGATGCTTGGAACATGGGTCAATATAGAAAATGAGGTTGGTGTTGGACCGGCGTAGAGGATGTCTAGATTTGGTTAGGATCTTTATTTGAGCGCTCCTTTGCTAGTAGGAGTTTGAGGGGTGAACTCTGGTTCAGATTAATGGAGAAGTATCGACGCTTTGTTCAGGGGGAAACATGGGTGTCAAAGTCAATCCAGATCTATCTAGGATTTCATTCGAGCGCTTCTCTTTGAGTGGGAGTTTGAGGGATGAACTTCATCCAGATGTATGGAGGTGTCTCAGCGGTTGTTTGGTGTTTGGATCGTTATCATAGGAGCTTCTGTAATGGGTGTGTTCACTGTTTGGATCGAAAAATAAGATGTGTTCCGACTATGGAAGTGGAGATGGCAGTGGGTCTTGTTCGGTTGTGACGGTGGGTTTTGATCGTCTTTAGAGGTGTGGCTGGGGCCAAGGTAGCTTCGGTCATGGATGTTTATCGATCATGGTAGGCGTGGTCAGCAGAGAGGTAGGCGTGGGAGTCCTTGGGTGTGTTTCGGCCATAGTACTTGGCCAAGGGAGTTTTTTGGCCATGGTTTTTTTGGCCATGAGACGTATGATGGTGGTTCTCAATTTGTTCAACGAAACTTCATGGTGGCAGTGTTCCTTACACGTGCGTTACGATTTTTGATACCACAGATCAATGTATTTCAGGCGTGGGGGTCTTGTCTTTGGTTTGTGTGGGTTATTGAAAAGACAAGTGTTATAGCTTTTGGTAGAATAGAAGAGTATGGGTTGGTGAAAAGAATAGTGATTTGGGTTGAAAAGTAGAGTGTGGTTTGTTGAAAAGAAGAGTGCAGCAACATGGGTGTTGAAAAGAAGATTTTGGTTTGTTGAAAAAAGGAATGTAGGAGCAGCATGACTATTTTTGTTTTAGGTTTTGTGGGGAATTCATGTATTTTATTTTTTAGTTAAGTCCTTCTTACCTTTTTATTTTTATTTTTTTTTGTCTATCTTTTATTTTGTTAAAAAAAATAAATAAATCATGAAGTCAAAGGGTTGGTTGTATGGATGTGAGTAGTAATAGTAGGAGTAATTTGTACTTTCTGAATCTCTCTCGATGTATGTCATTTTCTTGTACTTTTAATTTCATGCTATTAATGAAATTTTTCTTTGATGATCAAAAAGATGAAAATAAAAAAAATTGATCTAATAATAATAATTTTTATTTTATCAAGTTTGTTTTAAAAAACTTAAATGATTTATTTTTAAAAATATATTTATCGTCTATATTTTTGAAAATAGAGTTAGTAGTGAGTCCTATGAAAATCTTAGGATTCGTTTGGGAAGTAGGTTGACTTTTTTGACTTTTTGGCTATTTTAATCTGGAGTCAAAAAGCTTGGTTTATGAAGGAATTTTTGACTTTTTTGACTTTTTGTGAGAAAAAAAATATAATGATTATGGATTGGATGTGATGTTTTGTCTTATTGAGCTAAAAAATTTATTTGTCTTTTTGTGACTAAAATAATCCAAATCCAACCTAATCTTTCTTCCCAAACGAAGTCTTAAAATCTCATAAATTTAAATTTAAACTTCAAAGAAAAATGATAATTTTTATAAATCATGTCAGGAAACATAACTAATACTTTTGGAAACGATAAAAAACAAAGTTTGAAAAACCAAAAAGAAATTAGGATCATGTTTGTGTTTGTTTGTGCTGTGGTTTCGTGTCAAAATGTGTTTGTGTTATTCATGTTAAAATACTCTATTAACAAGTTTTACTAAATTAATCGTATCAAATAATAGTCTAACTTACTTATAAACAATTACTTTAACAGAAATACACACTAATCATGTTTAACAATAGAGATTGGAGATTGATATCGGTAACTATATATTTAAATCAAAGCTATTTTAAAATTATACCCATAACTATTGTTTTTTGTTATACAAATATATTTAAACATATAACTATTAATATACGATTATCTTAAGTTTTTTTTGCAAGCGTAGACATTCATTTTTTATAATACAATATTATTCAAATACATAACTACTGAAATCATCCTAATTTTTTGCAATAAATATTTGCATGAATATATTACTCAAAGAGTACTAAAGATGAATGAGAGATTTGTCCCCAAAATAAACCTATTAAATCCAAGCTTTTTCTTAAGTTAAGAAAATCAACTTGAAAGAATCCAGACTCCCAACAATAATATCAAAAGAGTCAATAAAACTAGAAAACAATAATATTGGAAAGAAAGGTAAATTAAAAATTCACCATTTGAAATTCATTGAAAATACATTACTCTTGTAATTTGAAAATTTTCATTTAATTGAAATAAATTTCTGATATTAAAATTATTAATTAATTTAATAATATGTTAATAAAAGTGATAATTTGTTATAAAATTAAAAACTTCAAAGGGTAAAATGTAATTTTTAAAACAAAATTAGACAAATCATATTTTAATCAAACTGTGGTATATTTGTTATATAAAAAATAAAAATTACATTTCACAACCATGAAAAGAAAAATAAAAATAATTCGAACCTTCCACAACCATACATAAACGAAAAATAGTATGAAAATAGATTAAAAAAATAATAAAATAAAAAAATGCCATTTTAATTCACCCTAAACAAGTTCATAATAAAATAACATATGCATTCCACGTAAGGCCTCTTTTAAAAGGGCAAAAAAACAAAAGCTAATTTATTAATTTATTTTGATTATATTATTTCTCTTATGTTTTTTATATTACGGTATTTCATGATAAGTTAATAAACTTAAAAAAATAAATGCATAAATAAATAAAGCCAATTCCAGAATAGGCTCAAGTATCAAACTCAACGTCCACACTCCCCCAAAACCAAAGAATAATGTAAGAAATGTTAAAAGTTTTATTAAATTTTTTATTAAATATTTTACATAAAATTTAATAAAGCTTTTAAAATTTCTAACATTTTCCGAAACGAAAATCCAAATCCGCGATTCACCACCACCACCGTCAAATAACATAATCAGACCAGTGAGACATAAACGAAGTATGATCCATAGACTCCCCAGGCACATCATCATGAACCTTCGGCTGTTCCTTCCCACCCACCAACCTCGCCGGATTCCCCACCGCCGTCGTCCACGGCGGCACATCTATCAACACCACCGACCCCGCCCCTATCTTTACCCCCTCCCCAATCTTCACGTTCCCCAAAATCGTCGCTCCAGCCCCAATCAAAACCCCGTCTCCAATCTTCGGATGTCTGTCCCCACCCACCTTCCCAGTCCCCCCTAATGTCACATGGTGAAGAATCGACACATTGTTCCCCACCACCGCCGTCTCTCCGATCACCACCCCCGTCGCATGATCCAACAAAACCCCCTTCCCGATCCTCGCCGCCGGGTGAATATCGACGGAGAAGACATCGGAGACCCGGGAATGGAGAGCGAGGGAAATGGGTTTTCGGTTCTGGATCCATAGCTTGTGGGCGACCCGGTGGGCTTGGAGAGCGAGGAAGCCTTTGTAGTTGAGGAGGCAGTGGGAGAAGGAGAGGCAGGCCGGGTCGCGGATCCGGGCGGCGCGGAGGTCGGCGACGGTGGCGGAGCGGAGGGAGGAGTCGGAGGAGAAGGTGTTGAGGAAGAGGTCGTAGAGGAGGGTGGAGAGGAGCGTGGAGGAGCAGAGCTTGTTGCCGAGGTGGAAGGAGAGAGATCGGGAGAGAGAGGAGTGAGAGGCGATTGTTGAGTAGAGGTAGCTTGCGAGTGCTGGTTCGGATTCGGCGTCACGCCGGGCTTCGGCTTTGATTTGGGTCCATACCCACGTTTCGTCCTCGGTTTCGCCGGCGTTTGACGGCGGTGGTGGAGATGGGGACGGTGGTGGGGGGTCTTGGACTGACATTTAGCGGCGGCGGAGTTGGATAAAACTGAGAGGATTTTAGTTTATGTGTTTTTTCAAACAGAGAGTAGACAGAAAGGGTGTTTGGTGGAGGTGAATTTATCTTGGACTTGAAATTGTTGGTGTAAAATTAGTGATGGAGTTATTTAAAAGTTACTTTGCCTATAATATTTTCTTAATTTAGTGATATTTGAAAATTTTATAAAATTATTTTTTTAATAATATTTTTTAATTTTGTGATATTTTAAACAAGTGTCATTTGTATTTGTATTACGGTAGATACTAGTGACACTTATAAGTGTCACTATACCATCATGATTGAAGACTTTTAATGACACTTTGATGTCATGATAGACACTATTTGTAATACTATCAAGCGTAATTAAAAAAAGATTTAATAATACTTCAGTGACACTTGTAAGTGCCATTACACCATCAAGGTTAAAGACTTTCAATGACACTTTAATGTCATGGTAGACACTATTCGTGACGCTATCAAATGCTATTGAAAAAGACTTACAATCTAAAAAATGTCACTATATAGATTTTTAATGGCGCTTGTTAGGTCACAATTGATATTTTTAACAATTTCATAAATGTTATTAAATTCAATTCATTTGTGCCATTAAATAGATATAAGTGTCATTGAAGCTTATTCTAGTGACATTTTGCAAAGCCACAACTACTACTACGAAATGCTATTTATATGTTCTTTTCATTGACACTTCTAAAAATCACAACTAAACATATGTAAATACTTGTAAAATTGAATATTAATTGCCACATCGTATATTAATTTGAAATCCATTAATCCTATAATATTTTCATAATAATAAACAAATATTACCATCACAGAATCATTACATCCAAAACAAAAAAAAAATTCAAACCATTGACATTTTTTTTTATCTAAAATATGAATTTATTAATATCGCAATACAAATCATAAACAAAATTATAAAAATATTCTACCACACTAATAAAGTTAAAGCAAAAAAAAATTTAAAAGAAAATTATTCCAACTATAAGTTCTGAAAAGCCATAGTGATATCTATCTTCCAGAGAGACAAATTATCAAAACAAATTTAGTTCCCAAATTCTCAACCTCACTTGTATAAATATTCTCGGCTAGCATCCATAACTTGCGATATCCGTATCCAAAAGATAAACATATAAATGTAATTGAAACTATATTAAATTAATATAAATTTGTTAATGAAATTAGTATTTACGAAAAAATATACCACAAATGGAGTAGGCCAAGCAACATGACACTACAACAAAAAGCACTTTTGGTGACTAAAATTACATTTTTCGTCACTGAAAGTAGTACAATTGGCGACTAAAATGGAATTAGTCGCCAAAATTGATAACTTTTGCCGACTAAAAGAGTTTAGTCGCCAAATATGAGGGTATTAGCGACTAAAAGGCAGTGTAGTCACCAAATGTAGGGGTTTTAACGACTAAAAATGATTTAGTAGCCAAAAGTCACAGTTTTTGGCGACTAAAAATGATTTAGTAGCCAAAAGTGATGGTTTTGGCGACTAAATACAGTTTAGTCGCTGAAAGTGAAGCTTTTTGGCTACAAAAAAAAATTAGTAGCTAAAAACAGTTCATTGCCGACTAAAATTCAGTTTAGTAGCCAAAAGGGGACATTTTTGGCGACTAAAAACAGGTTTAGTCGCCAAAACCTCTTATTTCTAGGCGGAACTTAATTTTTTAGCGACTAAATAATAATTAGTAGCCAAAAATGATAGAATTGGCGACTAAAAATTTAATTTATACATAAATTATATTGAATTAAAAAAATTATATTTATATATATTATTTTGTATTAATACCGGTTAATATACTATATAAATAATATATATTGCATATATATTCATGTGATGTTGTAGTGGCATAGTGGAGGGAGTGTGTTGCAAAAAGGTTCGGAATGTGGGACGGTTGGGGTTCGAAACTCAGGAAAAGCAAAAAAAAGTGGATTTTTCTTTTTCGACGACATCTTTGGCGACTAAAATTATTAGTCGCCAAAAGTTTTTATTTTGGCGACTAAACAGTGTAGTCAGCGATTGAGTGAGTATTGGCGACTAAATTATTAGTCGGTAAATGTATGATTTTCAAAAGTGTAAAACACTATTGGCGACTAAAATTTTGGTCGCTAAAGACTTTTATTTTGGCGACTAAAAAAGTTTTAGTCGCCAATACCTCCACCGACCACCTATACGCGACAAATGTGGCGACTAAAAAATTTTGTCGGGGAAAGTAAAATTTCGACTTTCGGCGACTAAAAATTTAGTCACCAAAAGTGTTTTTTTTTGTAGTGTGAGCTCCAATAGCTTGTCCAATTCAAAGTGAAAATGATTACAACTAAAAGTGATATATATTTCTCTAGTAGATAAGCACGCCACATGATTTAATCACTTAATTGGAACTTTTAGAAATACCATGTTTACGAATGCAAAAATAAATAAATAAATAAATAAATAACATAGATGGTGTAACGCCCCAATTTCTAGCCCAAATGATAATACAACAATCACAGCTTTTTCAAGGAAAACCGAATATAATCTCCAAACTTACATTACATGATACAATAGTTCTTCATGCAATAATACATTAATCCAATAACAAGTAAATAAACAAATAAATACCCCCAAGGGTTTACAAGTTTCCAAGGCTTGAGCCTGGTTACACAAAACGGTTATTTAAACTCACACACATACAGCCCTTGGCTTACACACAGAATCATAGCAAAATAAGAGTCTCGTACTCTCAACACACATTTTCTCGCCTTTAGTTAGGCAGCATTACTACATCTTTTCTTGTGCAAAAATCCCGTAGGGTGAGCATAAAGCCCAGCAGAAAATCCTTAACAAAGTATATACATTTTATACAAGTCTCAAGAGATGAAATGCACATGCTATGCTATGCCCTTTTGAAAGAAAATCACATTTTCATCTTTGAAAACCATTATACTAAATGAAGTCATGCAATTTCAATTCTTCAAAACTTAACAATTCATTTCAAGAGCGGTAAATACGACTTTGGTAATCCCTAGGTCGGTGTCTGCAAATAGACTATACAAGTACTACCAACTTGTCATTTTTACCGGTGTACGAGCACTAAATAATTCTTCTCATATGATCCTGTTGATCAAGTTTGCGCTCCTCCAAACGTTGTCACTTTACTTCCTGAAAACACAAACATGAGCTAGCCGGCGGGTGTGTGTCGGAAACCCCTCCGATGCCTAAGTCAGTAACTAGACAATAGGTAATAAGCTCTGTGTATTCTAGAGTAAGAATTGGGATTGTCATTGTGGTACCTGTCTATAGGTCCTGCTATGAGCTTTTATAGACTTGGCTTGGCCCATTCCTAGTAGGATTCCAACTCTCCTTATAAGAGTCCTCCTAGGAATCACACACCCTACTCACTACCAACCAAGTGAGATGGTTTGCACAATCCCAGTAGGACTCTACTCTCCTTAGCAGAGTTCTCATAGGAGTCTCATCACTCCAAGCCAAGTGAGATGGCTGAACCCTTTACCTCGGTTATACATTCCTGACCAAATTGCCTTATCTCGGTCCCCTACCATTCGGACCGTGTGATCGAAAGCCGATCTATCGAATGCCACCCTACCGAGCTATACACAGCTCGGCCCTTGCCATTGATGTTACCTCGGTTTTGTCTGTTTAGATCGAGTTAACTGCAGCAGTCTCCGACCGAACTAACAAGGACGAGGTCCAACTTGCGAAGCCCAAACACCTCAGCCCATAGTTCGGCCCAAATCCGAAATATGAGATGTCTTCTTGGCCTAAGACCGAGCTATACCAGCCCTTATCTTGGCCCATTGCGCGGCCCAACTTTCAAAGAAGACTTTTCCTAGCTCGGCCCAATTGTTTACAAATTACCCTATCAACCGGTATTAACTGGAAGGCTCGACACCTTTTCGCGCGGGTTTTCGATCTTTCACCCCGGACTCTCAGGCCGACTTATTTAATATCATCTACACCACCTATCAAGACTTACCAATGTATTTACCCCAAAATCATTCCATGAAAACTTGTTTCTCAACATTCTTTTCTCAATGCAAGTTTTCAAATGAACTTTTAAAGTTTAATATAATCAAATGAATTGATATTCCAATAACACAAGATGAGTATAAATACTTTTATTCCAATTCATCATCCAAGGAATAACACAATTCCCTCCTCTTAAGTATTCTCAACAATTAGTCATTTCAAGACTATTTCAACGTTTTGAACAATAATTTCCAAAATGAACAACAATTCTCATATTCCCTGAAATTCATCATTTATATAAATATAAATAAGAAATTTTCTAAACATCCATTTATTTTGACACACAAAATAAATATAACAATATCATTCATGGATTTTCTGTCTCTTTAAAAAAAATCCACAAATTCTAGGTTTTCTCACCAATACTATACAACTCAAATCTTTTAAAAGAAAAATTTTCAAAATCATATTTTCTTCAATCAACGAAGATCAAAACCCATAAAATCATTTTAAAAGAACAAGAGACAAACCCACTTTCAAAATCGCTCAACTTCTTGAATCAACAATCAATTTTCAAAACTATCGAAAGATGATTTCGAAAATCATATAGATCTTGCAAAAATATATATATAACTCTAAGAAAATCCTTACCTCAAGTTTTGAAGAAAAAATGAGATGAAACCCCCAAAATCAACGGTGTCGAAACTCGATCTTCACCGCACACAACGAAAACCTCGAGAAGTTAACCAACTTTGATTAAGAACCTATGCAGAACTCTAATAGATCTTGAGAAATCAAGATTTTGAGCCAATTTGGCGTAGGAAAATATAGAGAGAAGGGAGAGGAAAGGGTTTTTAGAGAGAGAGAGACCTAACAAGAGTGAGATACACTCAGCCTAAAGAGAAGAAAATACCATAATTTCATAGTCACCTACCATCGCACGTGCGGCGCTTCTTCCGCACTTGCACTCTCGCACCTACATTTATTGCAATAGCCAAACAAGCCCTCTCCTATTTTCCGCACGTGCGGCTCAAGCAACTTCGAATGCATTTTGCATTTTTGCTTCGGGGTGTTGCCCCCTGGACCCCCGCGA